CCCCCCCCCCCCCCCCCCCCCCCCCCCCCCCCCCCCCCCCCCCCCCCCCCCCCCCCCCCCCCCCCCCCCCCCCCCCCCCCCCCCCCCCCCCCCCCCCCCCCCCCCCCCCCCCCCCCCCCCTTAAACTACGTATATTTATTAGCCGATAATGCACCGTTCGGATAAAAAGTAAAATGAGAGTCGAAGGAATCTGGATGCTCGCTGTCCGCGCTGAGTAGTATTATCATCACTTCCTACGCTGAAATCCAGGCTTCGTGAAATGACATCACTTACATAGACATCATCATGGACGAGATTAGAGTTTGTTTTATCGTTCAAATCTACGTTAAGACGAATGCAGTCTCCAGTTACTCGATGAAGTGTATTTGAAAATATGAATTATTTCGGATAGAATGAGCAGAAATACTCAAGAGCCATTGCACTGGGTAACTCATTACTCGGCCTACTTGCGCATAGGGATGACTCATTACTTATTACTCGGTGTTACTTTTACCAAGTAAAGTAACAAAAATGTGTTGCTTGTTACTAGTAATTGGTAACAACAAATGCTAGTTTGTTACTTTGTTACTAGTAATAAGTAACAGGCTGTTGCTTATTACTATTAACAAAGTAACAAAGATTTGTTACTTTGCTATTTTGGTAAAGCAACAAAGAAGAAATTTTTGTTTCTAAGTTATGACTCTTTCCTTAACGCAATGTATAGCTAACAAATATTGCCAGATTCTTCTTTATTAGACGTTCCACCATCGTTCACCAGTAGATATTTTTGTCAGTCGACTTCTTAAGTAAGATTTTTCTAATAAATTAAGTTGTGTTAATTCGAAGAAAAAACTATTTACCACAGATAACTATTTTTTTGATCAACTTTCTAACAACAAAATGAGAAAGGACCAGAGAACTTTATATTTGGTTATACTGTTGGTAGTAATGATTTGAAACTTTATCATGCAAAAACATTGGGTACTTTAAATTACTAGACAGCAATGATGCCCTTCGCTTTCTTTGAATATAACCAGTAATGCTAAACTCGTTCACTTGCAACGGAGCTCGCTGGAATAACACTATAACGACGAACTAGCGATGCCAAACATTTTAAATCATTGTTGTTTTCTGACCAAAACGTTTCAAATTTAGAATCCTGTTTAACTCTTGACACGTAATTCGCCAGTTCTTCTCGAACGGACAGTATTTTTTCGTCTGTTTCCATTAACGGGGTTGAGTCCATTGAGAGCTACATATGAATAGAAATTTATCTATCTTCAATAATTTTTTTCGTAGTTGCTTGAGACTGTTCACTCGACGGAGACGGCTGTGGACTTTTTGATGTGGATACACCTTTTTCTCCTTCAAGATCGCAAATAATCAGTTTTTGGGCTTCTTGTTTCTCGTTATTTTTCAGGTATTTGTATGCGAAAGGGTGAAAACAGGAAGCAACCTAAAGCAAAAACTAATAACGAGTTTATAACATACTGAAAAGAAAAGAAAGCAAAGAGACAATAGTAACCAGAGCCGACTGCTGTTGCTTACTTGGTAATATAGTTTCAAAATAATACGTAAATTTTGTACATAGATTTTTGAGTACCCCATCTAATCTGGTGGTATTCAAATCTGTTAACAAAAATACTTCAATGAATTTAATACAAATCGTTCGATGGCCATTGGATAATTTCTCCCAGATAGCATTTCGGTTGCGTAGGGTTCTAATACGCGTAATTCCACTTCTCATGAGAAAAATCAAATGTTTTTAGCTAGTTGCGCTGGTCTTTTGGTAAACCAGTAATAAGATGTGGCGACGTTATGATATTGTTAATTATATCGCAATAATCAATAAAACGTTTAACCATCGTATAGGTGCTATTCCATCGAACAACAAAATCGAGTACTAACTCGGGACTTTTCATTTGGATCATTGGTGCTTCCGTAGCATTCGCCATTTGGTCATTATTTTTAGGTGCATAGTGAAGTTGATTTGCTTATATATGAATATATGTTTGAATAATACTCGATCGTTGAATAAAACGGATCATTGCTCGTACGCCTAGCAACAAATTATTTATTTTCGTTGGCAATTCATATTCATGACGACGTTCTAAATCCTCGATTTCAGAAGACTCTTCATTATCGTTTGCCTGGTTTTTTTCGCTCAAGCCTTCTTTTTCCGATGATGCTTCGTTTTTCCTCAAATCTTCTTCTTCTGATGATGTTTCATCTTCGTTCATTTCGTTCGTCAATGAATCGTCAAAAATGATTTTATTGGTTCACCATTATTCTGGAATTCTGAAGTTTACATACATGTCAAATTCAACTGTACATAGTTCGAATCATAAAAAGAAAAATAGACATTTCTGAGCAAAATGGCGTGTCTGTTTGAAAAAATATTGTAGGTTTGCTGAGAAACAAGCATTTTAAAATTTGACCTGCATTTGAAAGTGTGACATCTCTCAGTTTGACAACTTTGTGTTGCTCATTTCTCGGCAATCATACAGGATAAAGAGGTCAAATATTTTACATAAATAGAGCCTTGAATTTTCTTCGATTTAAAACAAACACGATCTCTGGGAATGGTTTCGTTCTCATACAGTGATCTGTATCCAGTACATCCTAAACTCATATCTTGTCCACTTTGGAGCCATACTGTATCGAAACGAGATATTTTCATAAAGTTTAAAAAATACCATTGGATAGAGAGCCTCGAAATACTACAACGCCCGCACATGTGACCTTCTAATTCGCTTTTGCTTAAATAAGAACTGTATCGAAAGTAGCGACTTTGGCTGAAAATGCCAGTTTCAGAATCGATTTTCTCCTATGGCATAAGACAAATTTTGGAAATATTTGGGACATAACTACTTTCAACCTTGATCTATTAGGAGATGAAAACGTGGTTTTGACAATTTTGAAAAACTCGTCTCGTACGAAAAGGTGCGATTAGGTCCTGGCTATAGAATGACGAAAACCGCAATGCTCTAGCTATTGTCAGTCAAAAGTTATTAAAAAATGGCTTTTTTGTGGACACGTAGTAATAAACCACTTAGACACCAAATATAATACAAAACGGGTTAAAGTAACTGCTAAGTAGTAACTTCTTGGAAAAGCAAATACAGGATTTTGTAGCCCTTCAAAAATCTGTGTAAAATGATGCATTACTTCACGATCTCCAAGAAATCGGTAACTTGCAAATAAAAGTGTACGGCACCAAAGTGACGCTAATACACATTAATTAGCACTTATTAATTATAATCCAATATGTTAAACAACTAATTTTAAATCTTTTTTCAATGAAACTATAACGATAAATCATTGGCTCTCAAACTACGCAAGAACGACGTTTTTATGATTATTTTTAACCGAACTTGAAGCTTTCCAAATTTCAATTCGAACTTAAAGTTAATTAATTAATAACTGTGTCAATACTCGACCAACTTTTGTTTTGCTCCTTAGGCATACCAGTTTTCTGCAAGAAAACGGCCCTATATATTTTTGAGAAGATAACGACAGCAACTGATCAGAAACCGTACGTTATTTAGTTTCTGATTTTTCTGTGCCTTAAACGTTGATTGTAGACTACCGTATGATGAAATTTTTAATCATTTCTGAACATCGGTCTAATAAGCCTGTTCGATCGTATCTATTCATTTTTCTCTGCAAATTCGACGTTCTTAATAAAATATTATATACGAAAACATGCGTCATTAAACCGGCTTTAAAATGATATATAGCACACTTTTTCAAACTAGTGTCTTCATAGATGTATTAGACAAATACTTAACAGGCATCTCGATTTTACTCGTAGTGGCAGACAAAAATGATTCTACTTTTGCCAGCAGGCTCAGACCTGGAATGGTTTATACATAGAAAAATGCAGAATTGAAAGGGCTACACAATGAACTATAATACATTGTTCAGTTAATTTATGATAGGCCCTAAGGTCGTATCTTTCTGGTTTCCCCGTGAGTTCTGCTGGTATGACACCTTTCGTAAATTGAATGCTGTTTCACGAAAAAATGTCGTAAAGAGCTCGGAGACGTATCATTTTCTTCAGAAACGTTTGCTCTACACGATCGAGCTATTTGCAAGCGTTTCTAGATTGAACTCGGGGACTTGGTTTTCTGAGATCTTTATTTGCCAGAGACCCTGGTTTCACAAGTTTTCATAGAACCTTTGTATACAACACATTCGATCGAAAATTCTTTCAGCTGTTCAAATCTTTTTTCAAATTTGTTCTAGCTATTATGTATGACGTCTATCCAGAATTGGAAACCGAAGGTAAGGCTTTTGCTCTCGAGGATCGTTCTCGAAAAAATGCCAGTTTCACTGCTGCCCAATCGGTCATGTTCATCGATGACAAGTATTACGAGCTGACTCAAACTGTCAAAACAAGTGATGATCTCGTTCGTTCCGAGAAATCTTGTTGGCTCGATCTGCGTCGCTGGGGCGCGCGCTTCGTGCCCAACTGTAGCCGACCCTAGTTTAATGGTCATGAGCGTCCGGATGTCGTTTCTCATTGAAACGATTTTATTTCTCACTTTATTCAAAACAAAGATCAATATTACACCATCAACGACGATGATCAGCCTTGGAAAATTCCTGCTCCGAATCCTCGAGTTCTCATCTGTAGGTTTTTATCTCAAATCTATCAGAAAAACTAATTCACCTTTTCTTGCTCTAGCTCACGATGAATCAAGCTTTAGGAGCGGAGAAGTGTCGGCTAAGCGGTGGACAATAGAAGGCCATACGTCTTTTTCCTCGAAAGGTCATGGCCGTTCTCACATGGTCTCTGACTTTCTTGTCCGACATCCAAGTGGGCCGTTTTTCAAACTGGATGATAAAGAATTTCAGCGTGCTGCCAAAAAGTTTCCCTCTCTTTCTAGTCCGGATGATTTGAATTATCTTGAAAATTCCAACGCTGTAATTAATGTGGGACAAGAAGGCTATTTCAACAACGATACAATACTATGTCAATTTTAGCGTCTATGCATGTTCCTTCAGTTCAAAAAACATTTCAAGAACCATCAAGTATCTATTAATAGTGGGCACTAACAGCAACTGGGCGTATACATGGGCAACCTGGTGGCGTCAGGAATTTGACGATTTCGCCGCTGGTGAGTTTGCCAATGACAGAAAAGTGGTGGGTGCTTGACGTCTTCACTAATCGAAAGCTAGGACCTAACTGCATCTTTTCACAATGAAAGTCTTTTTCAAAATCTTTCCCTAAAGCAGGTTTTTAGGGGATCTTTGGAAAGCCAGGTCATTGCTCAAAAACTTGACATACAAATGATTTGATTTTTTTTCATGGATAGGTAGTCCAAAGTGTCCTTGTCAAAATGGGAGTCAAGCGAAAGTCTGGTCTTTGATCACTTAGGCTAGGCGTGGAATTTCCTGAGAGTCCCAGAACCGGCCATTTCTCACACGTGGGAACCTCACAAATGACTCTAGACAAAGGTTATCGGCTACGCTGAATCTCGTGGCAGTCTCTGTTTAACAATTTAAAAGCGTTTTTACATACGAACTATCAGAACCTGTACTCAACCTAAGCTGTTATAACTACTGTACTATCTTAAAACTACTCCACTTTATTTCAAATCAGTATAATGTTACACAAAGATAAATGAACACTGATTCCATGTATATTTGCTCAAGAAAGTGAAAATGTTTTTCGTTCCCGATTTTCCTGCACTCAACGTCCTGGTGCTTATTTTATGATAAAATATGACACGGATGGATAACAGTGTTGTTTCATTCATCTTTATGTAACATTATACTGATTTGAAATAAAGTGGAGTAGTTTTAAGATAGTACAGTAGTTATAACAGCTTAGGTTGAGTACAGGTTCTGATAGTTCGTATGTAAAAACGCTTTTAAATTGTTAAACAGAGACTGCCACGAGACTCAGCGTAGTGTGAGATGATAATGACCATATGTTTATTCAACACAAAAAAAGGATAACTACCGAATGTCTCCCACTAAGAAAAACGGTTCGTATTTATAGGTTAGAGAGAGAGATGAGAAGAGAAAATCGTACCAT